GCCGTACAGTACACGCCGTCGGCCCCATCCAGCCCCTGCAGCGCCTCAATGTACTTTTCCTCCAGTGCATGTGTGAGCCAACTTTGCATGGCGCCCCCTGCAAAGTCCCTCTCGTGCGACGCGATGGACAACAACAAACACACACCAAAAGAAAAAGAAGAATAATAATGTTGAACCATAACAAATGACACGCGAAGCAACAAGGGATGGGCAAGCGGGGAAGGCGGCGAGCACCACACACACACACACACACACACATGAAACACAAAAACCCATCAAAATACCAACAAAAACATAAGTGTATACATGTATATATGTATATGTATATATGTATGTATGCATATATGTATATATGTATGTATATATACATATATAAAATGGCAGCAAACAAAAAAAAGAGAGGATGACTCGTGATGGCAGGGCCAACTATTGGCAAACAATATAGATACGCCACATGTGCAAGTGCACTAGAGCGTGGAGGTGGAAGCAAAGTGTATATAGAATGAAGGAAGACGGGGGAAGTAAATGCCAACAACAACAAGTAGGACATGTTGTAGCAATACGCAAGAAAAAAAAATGCAAAACGATGTATATGCACCCTCCTCTCTCACACTTCTCAGCCCCGCAGAATCGTGGGACAAGATCGGCGTCCCAACACCTACACAGTCCGATAATGCAGAGTGGCAAGAGTAAAGGAGGGAAAATCAGCTTCCACAAAGGACATAATAAAATGCCCGACGGCCTTGAGAGGCCAAATACCACACAAAAACAAGAAAAAACAAACAAGCAAAAACAAAGCATATTACATCAAAGACGCGTCGGGGCGAACACGTTCAATGGTACTTCGTTTTGCAGACGCAGGGTTCCACGGCCCCAACTCGGCGTGATCAATGGAGGACGATGCACGCACAACTTTAATGGAGAGAGGTTCCAGCGAAACACGGCTGTTGAACATGCAACAGAACGCTTCGCTTTGCGGCCGTGCTTCCTCCACCCTATTCGCGTTGTTAGGCAACACCAGGTGGGACAGAGACAAAGCATGTATACCCTCGCGATGGGAATGGAGTGGGGACTGCTTTGGCTCAGCATTTTCATTGACGTGAGTGGACACTGAGAAATTACTCCCGTCAAAAGCACCGACGCTCCTTGCGCCCGCACTAGCGTCCGCTGTGGAGGCGTCGGGGCTGTTGCTAAAGCCAAAATTCACCAGGTGCACCCCACGAACCCCTTTGCCGAAGGCGCGCATGGAGGCGTTAGCCTTCGCCACTTGGCCCGGCGCGGCACTGTAAAACCTCGCTGAGGCTCTTTTTTTGGAGTCGGATAGGCCACGGCCGTCGTACACCGAAAAACCGAGTCCGTCCGCAGGAACTCGAGTGGCGCTTGCGGCCGCTAATTTGTGCAGCCGCGTTGAGATGCTGGCGCACAAGCGCACACTTCGGGCCAACGATGAAGCGCGGTCCCTTGCCACTTCCACCCGGAACTTCAGACGTTTCCGCATCAAATATCCGCGCCCCACTCTTTGAATGAGCCTCGAAGCAAAAAGACGGCGCTCCTCCACACGAACCCCCTTTGAGCGCCACCACCGAATGATCGTTGCGGCGGCGCGTCGTCGAGTCTGTGGTAGATTCTTCCTGGCCGGGAAGCGCACCAAACGCAAATGGGAATTGCACTTTCGGAGTTGTCTGGTTGGGGTTGTGCGGTACTCGTCCGATAAACTCATCGTCGCCGTGGTACGGGAGCAGCGAAACAGCCTCACCAGCGGCCGCGTGCCGTCAAATGCAGTTGCATGGCTTGCCGACGAAGTCGACGACAGGGAACGGTGGCGCTGCTGCGGCTTACTGTCCTCCTCGTACCCGTTTCTCGCCAGTTGCAGCGCCCCAAAAACAGGGAGAAGACCAGCGGGAAAACTGGCGCTGGCGTCGAAAGCAGCGCGTGAGCCGGGGGGCGCAAACCCTGCGGCGCTGTTGCGGCTGCCCCTCGCCGCCGGCCGCCAGAGACGAAGGCCCGACGGGTGATCCGCCAGAGTCGGCAGTGGGCCTTGCTGACGCGAGAAAGAGAATTGATGCCACAGCGGTGTGAGCGTCTCATGCAGCAAAAACGGGTCGCTCTCCATCTCCGACACATTATCGCTTTGTTCGCTCATTTGGCGGCCTAAATTGGGCGGGTGCCGCCATCAATTGAGAGACAAGCAAAAAAAAACAATAATAAAGAATCGGGAGATGAAAGAGGGAGCGGAAAAAAAGCAAGGAGAAGACAAAAAAAAACGCACACGCATTTGTCCTTCCAGCGTGAGAGTGCAGGGCAGAGCACCTCGGCAGGTTTTTTGGTTTTCGTTGTATGCAGCGCAGGCGCACCAACGATGGCGCACTGTCAAGCTTTATTCACACGTAGGCAACAAGTGAGAAGACGAAGTCCATCGCTCCCCATCTATTCCTCCCTTCCCTCCCTCCCTCGCCCTCTCTCCACTGGGCACATCACACAGCCAGCACATGTAAGGCCCGCCCCCTCTTTTGGATCCAAGCACGCCGCTCACACCTCCTTCCGCATTTCTTCTAGTACCAACCGCACGAGATTCCGTATGATGAGCCCCACATCGCTGTAATTCGCCACGTGCGTCAGCAACTGATTCTTGATGCAAGACGGCTTCACCCCGTTGCACAGCTCGCGAACCTTGCGGTACTCCGCAAAGTTGTTCTCCTTCAAAAAGGTGATGACGTAAATGTCCTTCGGCTTCACCTGGAAGAGGTCCTGCAGTGTGCGGTACAGCGCGTCCCGGTGGGAGGCGTTGTGCAGAATGGCTATCGGGCGCACCGTCAACTGACACCGATCCGCCGCCACAGCGCAGTCCCGCTGCAGGTGCTCCACGAGGGCGTCCGCGGCCCCGCCGCACTCCGGATCGTCGTACGTCAAAAGCACAATGAGGGAGCGCGACATACCCGGGTCAACTCAACTGCAGCCAAAAGAAAAAAGAAAAAGAGGAAAATATTCTAACTTTTCCCTTTTCTTTTCTTCGCTACGGGCCGCGACAGTCGCTGCTGTGTGTCCCGCTTGGCTTCAGGACGCATCCAGGCACAAACACACAGGGAAGAAAGAAGGAAAATAACAATAACAAGAAACCAGAAGAAGTGGGCACAGCGTAGAAACGGTGACGTCAGTCAACGTTCACGCACTCTAAACACAAGCCAGCCACCTCGCCTCCAGTGGCCCATCAAAACAGATTGCTATTGTGAATGAGAAATAAAAACAAAAAATCAATAATATATCCGGAAACTTTTTCTCTCCACTGTGCCGTTTAGAACAGTCCAGCCATGCCAAAGTCTTCGTCATCTTCCTCATCCTCGGGCTCGGCGGCGGCGGCGGCGGCGGCAGGGGCAGCGGCAGCGGCGGCGGCAGGGGCAGCAGCATCAGCCGCACCACCGCCAAGTTTGCCCTCCAGAGCGGCCTGGCGCAGGTTCTTGCCGTCGAACTCGTCGAACTCGTACTCGGTGGCAACAGAGGCGCCAAGGAGGTTCTTGAAGGCGTCCATGATCATGTGCGGCAGCGTGGCCGCCGTCGGGATGCCAGCGCCCAGCGACATGGCAGCGACATTGCTGATGCCGTCCAGAAGGAACTTCTCCACGACTTCGTCGGTGATGGAGAGATCCTCACGGAGGAACAGGATGCCACGGTCCCACACGGACTGCACCTCCACCTGGTAGTAGAACGGGGAGATATCCAGCTTCTGCAGCAGTGTGGCCGTTGAGTTGTCCAC